ACATATGATAACTTAACCGTACGTAAAACTGAACGTTCAATGGCGATAATTCGATATAATCTGTGGTGGGGATTTACATAAGTATTGCACACATAATTGATTTTCAATAAAATTTTTTCTCAAAAACTTTATATCTCCGCATGTTGAAACGTTGCGTGTTTGCTTATAATAATGTAACCTTTCTGTAAAGAAGATATCAACCCCCAACTCGACGGAAATTAATGGAAAGCTGAGCCCGATCCGTCCCATGGGTGTCGTAAGAGACGACTATGGGTCACACTAAAATGTTCACATAGCCTCTTATAGATAGCGGTATAACCATAACGTTCACGCGCTGTGTAAAATATCAAGAAGGGGTACAGGGAGTGGCATCCAAGTACCAACTCAATGTCCAACGCATTAAAGAAGCATGTACTTCGATAGTCAACACTGCTCGCCGGCCCCACTTTCAAAATATGTGTTTGTGTGTATTTAGTCTTTTTATATAGAATAAGGGGTAACAAATGAGTACTCATTCGACCTGATGGTAATGGATGCTGTGGGCCGTAGACATCGACCGTTACCGTTATAGCCCATTAAATTCCACTGCTTAACATGGGCTTTCCCACAGATTGCCTCAAAGCGGGGATATTTGTCATAGTTGCCACCCTTAGCAAGCGTGTAGGCAACCGCAGTTTATTTTTATTTTTAGTAGTTATTTGGAAGACGCTGCTGACAATCTCCTAATTTGTTTCTCTCTGTTGCCTCTTGCGACACTCACGGGACGATATGGGGTAGTGGATATTATTACACTGCCACTACACGGGATATACATTAATTAAAGTCATCTATGATACTAAAATGAAATACTTCGTTTACAGTTAAAAGTGTCTCTGGTTGTCTACACTGAGTGAGAGAGTGATCCTACCCGGTCGAGTCGATCCATTAGTGCTACAACTACAGCGTGGTTCTACTTTGTATAATACTGGTGCATGTTGCCTTTCACTACACGGTAGACAAGTAACATAATTAGCACTTCTATTCTTTTTAGTAATACGTCTCACATAAATATAGGACCTATTAAACCCAGACCAATATTGGTCTGAAAAAAGATAAAAAAACGTCAATTTAAATGTTATTTTAAGAAAACTAGTAAATATATAAATTGAATAAGTTTTTTTTATATTATTTAATATAAATCACAATATTTATACGTGGTTCTTCACGCCGCGCCGCAGAGTGCAATATTATGGTTGTAGCACTAAGAGATCGACTCGACCACCCGGTCGGAACGAACGCGCGAAAACGAACAAAAAGAACGCTATCACAATATGCTTAATGTTGCTGTGTGTGGCGATTCCATCTAGTCCTCAGGGGTGACAACGAATTCACATTTTGATTCTTAACTGACGATAAATGTAGATTTCTATAGGCCACAGTGTCCACTTACCATCAGGTGGACTGTGTGCTCGCTTTTTCTCCTATTCTATAAAAAAAAAAACACAATTCCAACATTTCATAAAATAAAAGCAAGTAAAAGTTAAATTATCTTGTTACATTATGATTGTGACAAATAAGTAATCACCCGGCACTATATTGATGATAACTTATTACAGTATAACTCAATATTATATCTAGTGCATACATTTATTCTCAATCAAGTATAGTTACGTATGTAATAAATTCGTAAACATGTATTTTCATACATTATATGGTACGTATTTAGGGCAGTTCTTGCTCGTTCAATCGTCAGTTAAAATTTATCCGTCAAGTAATTTATAACTTGACTGAATATAAAAGTTAAACAACTGAAGTATTTATTCATACAACTGTAATTTTTCATCTAATGTTATCTAATTGATAACTTTTACTGCTTGAGCATCAATTCGAAACAAAAACCTTGATACAGACTTGAACCACGCGGGCGCTGGCTCGTTTGCGGGCACTGTAAATATGCCACGCAGTTTTATTTTCATTTACGACAGTAATTATTTTTAGGCAAATACGAATTACAGTTACATACTTATCTGAAATAAACTTTAAATCACGTTGACAAAGTGCGCACCTTTCGAAAACAACTTTCGCGGTTTATAAAACATAGAACTAGTCTTCTCGCTGACTAAATAAGTTATGGAGAATTGATCGAAACCTAGTGCGCAATATATTAGCACCATAGCGCCTGCCTAGTAGTAAACATAGAAGACTTTGAGTGTAAGCGAGATGGTTAAACTGCCATTCATCAACAACCATCATGGTAAGAACTACGGTCGCAGGTTCTCTTACAACGATAACACCCGGCATCTCTACAAGTAGAAGGGCCCTCATTTAATAGTAGAAATGGCTGATGAAAGTGAATACATTTAATTGTTAGGCATTAATTTATACGGCAGTTGTGAAGACTCCCGCATTCACTTCAACATAAATTAGTTTAGTCGTTACATGTACACAAACGCTCGACCCGTATCCAAACTTTGACGGAGGGACAAATGTGTCACAAGCAAACAGTGCATGAAACGTTATATGGTACGTTTAAAGTCATGAATTGCATTCGTACAAGATGAATTAAATAATTTTTTTAAGTCTTAATTTACTGACATTTCCCATAATCGCCGATTACGTAGCCCGTGTAACGAAGTTGGGCGATGGACCTTCTTACGATCACGCAGTAAAGTAAGAGTACCGCAAACGATTTGCTTTACAGCGACAAATTTCGAATAGTCAATACAATTGAACGCAACCATTCTGCACGAGCTTTGAAGAGTCATATCGTAAACTTAAATTTGACTCTTGAGACTTCTTAAGGATAAAGCGAATTAGTTTTTCTACTATCACATCTGTAGTTCATGTTTATATCTCTTTTTATGATCTCTTTGAGATAAAAGGATCGAATCGATGAATAACTTAAGCATTTAACCATTACTTAGCAGGATGTTTAAGTAACTAAATAACTTTGAGCTACTATAAATGTAATAAATGCAAAATGATGACCAGGGGATCTAGTTCAAATAGTTTTTTTTATAAAAACGGGAGAATCGAGCATGCGGCTCACCTAGTGAGTGACTACCGCCGCGCACAAACAACTGCAACATCGGGGGCATAAACTCTTTTCCTGAAATTCCCTTAGTCGTATCGGTCCGCAAAAATCGCCTGTGGTAGTAGAACTCACAGTGATGGACCACCAAGCATCCAAATAATGTAGATATGTTGAGTATTGTCACGATGTGCGTTGGTGAAATTTGTCGAATAGAATCAATCTAAATAATTGCTCGGAGCACACCCCGCGGCAAATGCGACAGACAATGCAAAGGGATGCAACATCTCTTCGTATTGCCAGTAAATTGAGCCTATCAGAAAGAAATCGGAAGTGTAGAAGACTGATCCAAAATCAGCTTGAGATTTTTCACGTTTTTTACCACGTTTTCATTAATCGTAGACGGTGCCCGCCCTTACTTCGACTCCTACCAAGTGATGATACGTGAAGCTATTGAATTTAAAAAGAAACAATCTATTTCAATAGAGAAGGAGGCAGGTTACTATCACCTGCTTGGGATCCTGTAATTAATACGATTAAAACTTAACTCAAGCATACCACTGCAAGACTTCAAGACACACTAATTTTATTCTGCGTAGATCGGACCATAAATAATTATAGACGAGAAATTTATTTGTGGTCGAATTCCTAAAGGTATATTTTGAAATTTCACGCAGATATAGTAAACATGAAAATATATAACATAATTGATAACATATTTATTTATAGTCATTGTGCCTTAACAGACGAGACCAATAATCCTTAGTAAAATGTATGGGCTAGAATAAAACGATGTTTTATTTTTTATTTTTGTGGAATAAGGGTGACAAACGAGTATACAGTCCATCTGATGTTAAGTGAATGCTGTGGCTCATAGACATCTACATTAATACTCGAATCAAAACTCATATGCGTTGTCTCCCATGAGAACTAAGATAGAATGCCTTGATTCCACTTAAAAAGACCTCCGGATCACTACAATCACCATACAAAATACAGCAGTATTAAGCTGTTATATAACGGTATGCTGTGAGAGCGTAGTCCTTACCCGATTGAGCCATCCCATTCGTTCTTTACAACCATAATACAGCTGCAGCGTGGCCCTACCACGTATAGAGATTTTTTTTTTATTGAATAAGTTTGACCACTAATCACTCTGACTGCCTGATAGTAATCGGTTGCTGTGGTCTATAGACATCAACATCTATTCTCCCATATGTATCAAAATGCTCGTGCGTTGTCACCCTTTCATTAAAAAGGGTCTCAGATTTTTTACACTAACCATACGAAATGCAGCAGCATTAGGCTTGCTATTTTACGTTGGTATTTTGTGAGAGCGTGGTCGCACCACGGTTAACCCGACCCATTCCTGCTACAACCAATATAAGTGTAGCGTGTTTCCACCACGTACAAGATCTTTTAAAATAGGGTTTTTATAAGTCTTCCGCTGGCATTGGTGCGTGCCGTATGTGTCAACATGCCGTACGATCTTCCAACTCTGACGAAGTTACGTATAGAAATAACGAAATATGTAGTGAATTGAGATGTAATAAGTGCAAAGTGGTAATCAATGAATTGTTGGCCTTTGTTAGTAACAAGGTCAACACACTGCCGGAAACAGGAATTATACAAATTTTTATGAGTGTCTATTCTGCCGACGAAATTAAGAACACAGGATCAGTTGCCTAGAAGCTACTGCCGCCAACGAAGAAGTACGTGAGAGGAAAGGAGGGAGCTGAATAAAATAGCATTCAAGATATCATAAAACTTATAAAAGAGTTTGACCCTGACTGCCTGCCAATCTTCGCAGCAAAAAACTTAAACAAACTTCCGCCTGTATCATTTGATCACGTCGATGTGACCAGTTTTCAAGAAATGACTTAGAGGAGAGATGTAGCCTGTTGGAAGGCTAAACAACCTATGATAAGCAATGAAGTTAAATTATCGGAGGATATTGATTTAATACGGAAGGGGATTGATGATGTCAAAATTATGTTGGAATTTCGCGAAGTCCGCCATGGCAGCAGTAAACGACAAGACGATCTGTTTCTTGGGTCTTATCATAATGATAAGAACACTAGAAACAAGTTAAATAATAGTTAAGAGAATACTTACAATTTAAATGGGGGTATCGTTGAGCTTGGTATTGACATGCCCCGAACGGACGTAAACACACCAAGTGAGGGAGAAAGTACGCGCAAGAGCTCTCTCTATATTGCGCATACGCCGTTGCTGGTAACGTTATTGGAAACAGCATAATCCTATTAGTGACACTGATACGCATTGTGTACTTACCTATAGAGATATAGCAAACACGATTCGCACGGAATTGAAAAAACGAAAATATGACGGTTTTACGATTGTTACTAAAAAGAAGTATATGTATACAGGTATAGAAACGAGCGAGGTTATTTACAAAACGCGAATAAATTACAGGCTGTGGAATCATTTGCTTATGTCTATCTCTCACGTACGAAAAAGCACATAAATGAAAATGATATTAGAGACCATATAAAATAAATGAAGGAAGAATGCATTGACATAGAAATGTTGAAATAGACACGAGAAACTCATTTTAATTCTTTCAAGATAACTGTCCTAGCACCCAAAATTAACAATTTCTTACAAAAAAGTTTTTGGCCAGAGGGTTTAGTTTTTCGAAGATACCGTAACCAATATTCTATTAAGTGCGATACAATGGTGTCTAATAAATAACTATGGATGCACAAAATAAAAATAATTTAAGATTATTTTCACAGCACGTTCGTGATTTGTGTGAGATAGCAGATGTCATTGCTCTTCAAGTGACATGGCTGATGCCACATGACTTGGATTTCTTGAATCAAATTAACCAGGAATTTAGCTATTATGCTAAATCCTCTGTGGATACGTCAGTAGGTGTGCCGCGAGGGGGGCCCTACGGTGGGACAGCGCTGCTATGGCGTACGAGTCTATTTACCAAAACGGAACTAGTGCAGTGTTATAATGACCGGTTAGTGGCGATGCGATTAGATCAAGGTGATCGTAGCCTTCTTGTATTTAGCGTATATATGCCTACTAATTGTGAGCATATCCTATCAGAGTTTATTCAGTGTCTTGCGAATATAAGTGCAGTGATTGAGAGTGCTGAGGTTGAATGCGTTTTGATCTTAGGCGATTTCTGTGATGAAAAACTTTGAGATAATGAGTAATTATAAAAATGTAAACATGGAATGTATGGATGTAAAACAGTCATGTGAAAAATCGTGTCATTGTAAATATATTAACGGTTTATATTGTGACATTGTAAGTGTGTTGCAATTAGGAGCTGAGCGTAGCTTTTATATGAATGCTATAAGAAAAGGGCAAATGATTGTGGGGTGGAATTTTCACATCAGGCATACCCATGCCAAGGCCAGTGAAAGTTTTTTTAATGTGTAATGAATATGGTAGGCCATCTTCAGGCTATGTTTACGAAAATATGGCTGCCTCGCGTAGAGAGTTTAAAGCCGCGCTTAAGTACGTTCAAAATAATCAGGACAAGATAAAAATGGACGTGTTGGTTCGAAAGTATGTGGTGTTAGTAAGAGAAAGAATGAAAGAAAAAATAATACGTAATGGTGGGATAATGAGATACGTATGGAATTTGAAGCAAAGAAGAGAGCATGGCTAGATTTATCAGCAACAAAGGCTGCTACGAGGGTGGATTGAAAAGTACTCGGCCTAACCAAGAAAATAAACACATACTAAATCAGTTATATTTTTATTTTTCTACATAATCACCATCAAGTTCAATACACTTTTGCCACCTCCCCTTCCAAGCATTTAGACCGTTGAAAAAAAATGATTCTTCCTTAGAGTCAAAATATGCGTCTACAGCTGTTTTGACCTCGTCGTTTGTCGAAAATCTTTGACCTCCCAAGTGCTTTTTTAGGTTAGGGAACAGAAAGAAGTCTGATGGTGCCAGATCAGGTGAATACGGCGGATGCGGTAACAGTTCAAAGCCACAGTTGTGAATTTCAGCCATTGACTGTACTGACGTGTGAACACGGGCGTTATCTTGATGAAACAGGACTTTTCTTCTGAGCATTCCTCGACGTTTTTCTTTTATTTCCTCTCGTAAATGACGTAGTAAGGTGCAGTAGTAATCAGAGTTTATAGTCTGACCCCTTTCAAGATAATCAATCATAACCACACCTTTCGAGTCCCAGAATACTGAAGCCATCACCTTATTTGCCGACAAAATCGACTTAGCCTTTTTAGGGGTGGTGAACCAGGTCTTCTCCACTGTTTTGATTGTTGTTTTGTTTCCGGTGTACAGTAATGAACCCATGTTTCGTCCATAGTAACAAAACGATTCAAAAAATCATCTGCATCGGCTTCAAATAACTCCAAACAGTCGCGTGAAATAGTCAATCGCGTCCTTTTTTGTTCAACTGAAAGCAGTCGCGGAACCCACCTCGCAGACACCTTGTGGAAACCTAACTCGTTGACAATGATGTTTTGAGTTCGTTCATAAGAGATGCCTTTAATCTCGGCTATCTCTCTAATTTTTAATCTGCGGTCTCCCATTATTAAATCAAGTACTTTTTTTAATATTTTCGTCAGTAGTTGACGTCGAAGGCCTTCCAGAGCGGGGTTCATATTTCACACTCTCTCTACCACGCTTAAATTCTGCTATCCATTTTTTGACGGATGAATATGACGGAGCACAATCGCCTAATGTACTGACCATGTCATCATGGATGGCTTTTGATGATAGCCCCTTCTTATGGAGGTACTTAATGACGGCACGCTGCTCGATTTGCTCCATTCGCGGAAATTATGTCCGATTACTTTGTTAATAAATTTATAAAATCACAACTAATTATCGCACAAGTTTCGAACTACACACAATGAACTAGTCTGAACTGAACTAAATAATGTGGGTAGATTTGATTTTTAGAATTGAATGGATCTGTGTTAGGCCGAGTACTTTTCAATCCACCCAGGTAATTCTAGTGGTACGAATGGTGATATTGAAAGAAAAAAAGCAGTCTTTAGACATCTTAATAAGAGAGTAAAAGAAGTAGTTGAAAGAAAAAAGCAAGAAAGAACGGATAAGAATGATAGAAGAATATCGGATAACTTCCAGGCAAATATTAAAATGTTCTGGAAACTTGTAATAACTGCCAGGGGACATTCAAAACAGCCTATGATGAATGCTATAAGAGACTAGAATGGCTATATTCTGAATGATGAAGTTTTGAGTTTAAAGAGATGGAAGGAATATTTTGAAAGCGTGTTTATGAGTGAGGAGACAACGTGTGTACTAAGTGAAGTAGAAACACCGAAAGAAGAGGAAAGAGGTAGCGAGATAAGTATAGATGAAATAATGAAAGCAATGAAAAGCATGAAAGCAGGTAAGGCTGCCGGATATGATAGAGTTTCACTCGAAATGCTAAGGGCTGGAGAGGAAGTGGTGGCAGGCCTGCTGCACACCTTGTTTAATTTATGCTGGGAACTGAAGCGGGTACCGGTAGACTGGTGCAAAGCTGTGATAGTCCCAGTATATATAGGAAGAGGGTCGCAGCAAGACTGTAAAAACTACCGTGGCATCAGCCTTCTTAGCATTGTGGGAAAACTGTATGCTAAGGTACTGATTGAAAGGGCCATGAAAGAAACTGATGGAAAAATTTGGGATGTGAAAGCGGGATTTAGAAAGGGAATGGCATGTACAGATCAAGTCTTTTCCATGCGCATGATCGCGGAGAAGTTTCTGGCCAAAAACCAAAAGGTTTTTTGTGCGTTCATGGACTTGGAAAAGGCCTATGACAGAGTGGATAGGGATGTGCTATGGCAAACACTGAACTCATTTGGGTTGAGCGCTGGGTTGATACAGGCATTGGAGTCTCTTTATAGGGATTGTAGTGCTTGTGTTAGGATCAACGGGGTCTACTCGGACTGGTTTGACATCCATAAAGGTGTCAGACAGGGCTTTGTGGCTTCCCCGTAGCTGTTCAACCTATTTATGGACAGTTGTTTGCAAAATTTGAAAGTTGAAGAATGCGGATTAAGAATGGGTGAGTTAACCGTCAAATGCCTTTTGTACGCCGATGATCAAGTTATTCTTGCGTTGTCGGCGGCCGAGTTGCAAATGATGGTTACATTAATGAACGGATCATTAAAAGAAAGGAGTACGAAAGTAAACGCAAGTAAGATGAAGGTTATAGTTTTTGAAAGATAAGAAAGTAAAACGATTTGTGAAATAACAATAGAAGGGGAGTTGATCGAGCAAGTAGATGAGTATATAGAACGACGAGTGAATGCGGGAAATAGAGTAAATGGGGCCTTGCACTCTATTGTGAAGAGTCAAAATGTGTCGAAAAAGGCACGTATGGCAATTCACAATGCTGTGTTGGTCCCTACTTTAACGTATGTTAGTGAAAGTTGGGTGTGGCAGAAGAAGCACGAGAGTAGAATGAACGCAGTAGAAATGCGGTCGTTAAGGAGTATGTTCGGGCTGAATCTGAATGACAGGGTAAGAAATTGTGTAATAAGAGAAGAGTGTGGTTTGCAAGATGATGTTGTGACCTGGATTAAGAAAGGAATGCTTCGGTGGTTTGGTCACTCACGTGGAAAGAATGAATGAGGAAAGAGTGACAAAGAAAATTTATGGTGCAGAAGTGAACCTCTCTGGGTGACAGGCGTGAGTGTTTATGTTATGTTATGGTCCGACATCGAAATGCTGGCAACTTTAATGAATTTTGGATAGAAATAAAAAGTTAGAACAAAAAATATATTTGCCGTTGTAGATGGAGAAAAAAGTAAAAAAATATAGCAAATTTATTTATAAATCGGTTTAATCTTGTACAAAATAAATCTAATTATAATTGTAAGGCTAGGACATGTCAGGGATCCGAAACTCACCATGTAACAGTTACGCCGAAACAGTTAGTCACTTTTGACTAACATGAAGCGGGGTAAGTCTCCGGGTCATGACGGTCTTAGTATAGGGCATCTGTTATATTATGCGGACCAGCATATCTGTGAGGTGTTAGTGCACTTTTTCAATCTCTGCGTCAGAAATTGTTATTTACCTGAGGAACTTATTCGTACAGTGGTTGTTCCTATTATGAAAAATAAAACCGTGGATATTTCGAGCTCGGCAAACGATAGGCCTATTTCTTTGGCCACTATAGTGGCCAAGGTATTTGAGCGAGTATTACAGTTATACTTAAATTCCATAAATTGTGATGATGGTCAGTTTGGTTTTCGTCCAAATGTATCAACAGATATGGCTATATTTTCTCTAAAGCAAGTCATAGATTATTATAAACAGCGGAATACTACTGTATACGCTTGTTTTCTTGATATAAGTCGTGCCTTTGATACAATTAGTCATGAAATACGTGATACATGACATGTACGACATACAAATACGTGACACCGGCACAGGTGTCCCCCGGCTGAGGTTGTTGAATCCCTAGCGTTCTGGTACGGTAATCAGACGAACACCGTTAGGTGGGGTTGTGAAATATCGGATTGCTATAAGCTTTCTTGTGGCGTGAGACATATGGGGTGTTACCTCACCTGATATTTTCAACACTTATATTAATGATTTAATCGTGGAGTAAAGCAGATCCCCGGTAGGGCTCAGCCTTGACGACAGATATGTTAACAGCCTGAGTTATGCTGACGATATGGTGCTGCTCAGTCCCTCGATTAAAGGCTTGAAAAAATTAATTAAAATCTGTGAAAGATATGCGGAAGAACATAACTTGACTTACAACTCCAAAAAGACAGAAATAATGATTTTCAGATCAGGGAAGTTACCTCAGAGCGTGCCTGAGATTCGTCTTAATGGAAAATTTATTAAGATAGTAGACAAGTTCAAGTATCTTGGCCATATTGTTACTTCAGACTTAAAAGATGACACGGATGTGGAACGTCAACGTAGATCTCTGTGTGTAATAGGCAATATGATTGCGCGAAAGTTCTGCAAGGCGTCGCCGGATGTGAAAATTAGACTGTTTAGATTTTTCTGCCAAGCGTTTTACACGTGTCAACTCTGGGTAGACTATACCAAAAAAACACATGATAGTATAATATGGGTAACTTTATAATAATATTTTTAGACCTTTAATGGGATTTAATCGCTATTGTAGCGCCTCTGAAATGTACGTGAAAACCCGGTTCGACTCTTTTAATGCTCTTAAACTCTTTTAATCGAAAGAGGATAGCATCATTTATGTCCAGAGCTGAGTTGTGTAGCAACTCTATTGTGAGTAGTTTGGCAGATAGGCAGATACAGACTGGAATGTACAGATGCTGGGTGAAAGTTGCTGGGTAACGATAGAATTTTGGAAATATTGCAACATGTCTATTCTTGCTATACTATATATATGCTATATTATATTTTCTTGTAAATATGGATATCTGTGTCTGCAATGAAGGATATTATTGGGGTATGTATATAGTTTCCTCATCTGGTTGGGTTCTATAAATATATAATTATAAATTAAAATGAAAAGATAAATATACATAAATATAATTAAAATAAAGTGAATAAAAATACATAAATAAATAAAACCCAACCAGATGGAAGCCCTCGGAAGGGGAGACCAAACGGCCGAGGGTTAGGAGGAAAGGGAAAGAAACCGGCGGACGATGCGGGCGGTATCGAGGAGCACCGCCTTCTGCATTTGAGCACGGAGCGGTCCGTCACGGAGTCCCAGTCACCTCAGATGACCCGAGAGGCTGACTGGGATTAGCCCATTCGCAGAGATGACTACAGGAAAAATTTCGGCCGGCATACCACCCCACATGTCGGTCACCTCGTGAGCCAGGTCCAGATATTTTGTTCGTTTATCTGTTTCGGCTTTAACGAGGTTCTCGTCGTACGGAATGGTAATGTCGACCAAAAATATCCTTGACTGTGCCCGGTCCATCAGCACAATATCAGGCTTATTCGCAAGTCATAGTCCTGTCCGTGATGATGGCCCGGTCCAAGTAGAGCTTGGCGTGGTCATTTTCGAGCACGGCTTCCGGCAAGTACTTGTAATACGGAAATTTCCGGTCCACGAGACCGTATTTCAGAGCGAGCTCCTGGTGTAGAATTCTGGCTACTAGGATGTGCCTGTGCAAGTACTAAGAGTTAGAAAGCGCCGAACAACCGGAGATGACTTGCATAAGTGACTCACCGGGATGGTGACAAGCTCGACAAATGTCGATGGTACCATCCTTTAGGATGTATCTCCGATAGTTGTTGGTCTTAATAACCTGATTCTGTATTGCACAGACAAAACCCTCGGTTTCTCCGAAGAGGTCACCTTGTCATATTAGATATCAGATATCATAATGTCGACATCCCGTGGAGTCACCCCGGGATGTCGACATTATTATTATTTTTATTTATTATTATGGGGTATCTATATAGTTTTCTCATCTGGTTGGGTTCTATAAATATATAATTATAAATGAAAATGAAAAAATAAATATACATAAATATCAATAACATAAAATAAATATAAAAGTACATAAATAAATAAAAGCCCAACCAGATGGAGGCCCTCGGCAGGGGAGACCAAACGGCCGAGGGTTAGGGGGAAAGGGAAAGAAACCGGCGGACGATGCGGGTGGTATCGAGGAGCACCGCCTTCTGCATTTGAACCTGGAGCGGTCCGCCACGTAGTCCCAGCCGCCTCAGATGACCCGAGAGGCTGACTGGGATTAGCCCGTTTGCAGAGACGACTACAGGAATAATTTCGGTCGGCAGACCACCCCACATGTCGGTCACCTCGTGAGCCAGGTCCAGATATTTTGTTTGCTTGTCTGTTTCGGCTTTCACGAGGTTCTCGTCATACGGAATGGTAATGTCGACCAAAAATATCCTTAACTGTGCCCGGTCCATCAGCACAATATCAGGCTTATTCGCAAGAATAGTCCTGTCTGTGATGATGGCCCGGTCCCAATAGAGCCTGGCGCGATCATTTTCGAGCACGGCTTCCGGCAAGTACTTGTAATACGGCAATTTCCGATCCACGAGACCGTATTTCAGAGCGAGCTCCTGGTGTAGAATTCTGGCTACTAGGTTGTGCCTGTGCAAGTACTCAGAGTTAGAAAGCGCCGAACAACCGGAGATAACATGCCTAAGTGACTCACCGGGATGGCGACAAGCTCGACAGATGTCGACGGTGCCATCCTTTAGGATGTATCTCCGATAGTTGTTGGTCTTAATAACCTGATCCTGTATTGCACAGACAAAACCCTCGGTTTCCCCCGAAGAGATCACCAAAGCGTAGCCAGTGGAGAGAGGCTACTGTGTCTACGAAACGCTCATGTAGAGCCTTGTAGAACCTCCCGTGGAGCTCCTTCTCCTTCCATACGGTCTCCCGGTCGGAAATGCTCTGCACTGCCGGGTCTTGCCATTGCTCGTTGGCTAAGGATAGAGGGGTAAGTCCTTTATCACAAGAAATGACGTCCTTATAGAATGGATCATCCGATCTCGCCAGGAAGTAATCACGGAGGCTGCACACTTCGCGATTATGCATGGTGAGCGCGCTCAAGAAGCCACGACCACCATGCTTCCGCGGCAAGTACAGCCTCATTACCGACGATCTCGGATGATGCATCCTATGGGACGTCATGGTAGTGCGGACTTTTCTATCCAGGGCGTTAAGTTCAGTCTGAGTCCACCTGAGTATGCCAAAGGTATACATGAGGACAGGCATGACCCAGCCGTTATATGCGTGTGCCTTATTCACACCGGACAAAAGGCTGTTAAGCACTTTGGTCAAGCGTGAATAAAACACGTCGCAAACTGACTGTTTCATACCAGTCTCATCGATACCGATGTTTTGTGACATACCCAGGTATCGGTATGTTTCGGCCTCGGAAAGGGTCCTTAAGTTGACGGGCATAGATAAGTCTACGCCCTCAGAGTTAGCAACCCTTCCCCTTTCAACATGGAGGACCGCACACTTATCCGTCCCAAGCTCCATTTCAATGGAATTGCTAAATTCGCAAGTGATGTTTAGCAATTCCATAAGATGGGAGCGACTGGAGGCGAATAACTTGAGGTCATCCATATAGAAAAGGTGGGTCACTTTTGTCCCTCCTTTCCGTAGCTGAAATCCCCTCCCGGAGCCCTCCAGTAAGGTACTGAGAGGGTTCAGAGAGAGGCAGAACCAGATTGGACTCAGACAATCGCCCTGGAAGATACCCCTTCTTATCCTTATGTGGTTCTCCGCAGCCATCATCCGCTCGCCCAGATGACAAAGGATCGTACTCCACTGCCCCATACACTGCTCGAGGAAGTCTCTAACTGTACAGTCTATCTTGTACAGCTCGAGGACTCTCTTTAGCCATGTATGGGGCACCGAGTCGAATGCCTTTCTGTAGTCTATCCAGGCGGCGGAGAAGTTCCGACGGTTGCGTTTCACCACTTTGCCAATGACCGCGTCAATGAGGAGTGGTTCCTTGGTTCCACGACCACCGCCCCGACATCCATTTTGAGCGCGCGACATCACCTGATTTGAGTCCAGGTGACAAGTGATTCTCGCGCTCAAAATGGATGTTAGTGTCTTGTATATGGTCGGTAGACACGTGATGGGGCGGTATTTGCACGGGTCTGTGGTACCCTGGTCTTTAGGAACCAAATGAGTGATCCCAGTAGTGAAGAGGCTTGGGAGCGACTTCTGGTTGAGAGCCTCTTGAAACTGTCGGGCAAGCACAGAGTGACACACCATGAACCCCTTCAGCCAGTAGTGATGCAGCCCGTCAAGCCCCGGACTTTTCCAGTTCGGGGCCCTACGGACCGCCTCAGCTACGTCATCCGGCGTTATGATGACGGGGTCCATGGGCGTAATACCCGCACACTGACTCGCCACAACTTCCGTCCAAGGGCCCTCGCTGTGGTTTACGGGCTCTGACCACAGGCCGCGCCAGAATGCTACAGTGTCGGCCTGATTCGGTGCTGGACCCGTTTCACTTACCATTCGTCGCTCCAATGATTCATAGAGCCTCTTCTGATCACTCTGGAAGAGACGATTCTGGTTGAACCGTGTCGACCTCTCGGTATATCGCCGAATCCGCTTTCCCCAAGCAGCGATTCTCTGCTTCAGATCATCTATGCGCTCCGTCAGTTTTTGCGTTATATCCGGCTGGGACAAACTGACATTTGTCCCAGCAAACGCCATCCTGACGGTGCGCACAATTCTTGGCCTGTTGTTGCCTGATCTGAAGCATATCAGTCTGCCGATGAGAGCTCTAGCCTTTGCGATACGTTCCTCAATTCTTCTTCTCCATGCTGGGATAGCGCTACTATGGCCAGTAGCGCGTCCAGCCGTGGAAACCTTGGCGCCTATGATACGGCAGACTGCCAGCGCGGCGCCAAAAAGAATTGAGTCCGTCTCGCAAAAGGTCCCGGCTGGCTTCCAAATAGGTCACCAGCATTGGGTTCAGAGCCCTCACGACAGCCCGATTCCGCTTGCTTAGGGCTATGCGGGGGAAGTCGCGGTCGATTTTCGAGAGGCGTACTGCGCGTTTCCACAATCGCCTCTTCCAATGTACTCCTCATATGCTCTAATTCCAGTTCCTGGGCGACTGTTCCATCATCGTTTGAATCAACCACAACTGGGGTATTCACGGCGGCATCCACGTTTGCGGGTTGCTCTACCATTTGTGGCGCCGCATCCTCAGCCGTAGCATTCTCATCCGACGAGGGAACAGCCTCACGTCGTAGCCGTTCGAGTTCGGCGACATCAAATATATTTGAGCGCAAGATATACCGAACTCGGTCTGCCAGGTTTTGCTCTGTGACGGTTAAAGATGGCTCCAGCTCAGAAAAAAAAACGATGCATCCTAGCCCGATACGCCAAACATCCAGTTTCTCCCCCTTTCGCCCTAAAATACGCCCGCAATGCGTTGCTGTTCATCTGGGTTGTCCAACGCATGCGGCGTACTCCACCAGAGGCGGGTGCCGATTGCTGGGCCCGCGAAGACCCTGCCGACACCAAGCCAGCTGGTGGGGATGATGGATGCGAGGGGCTGCTGGGTGGTCGTGCAGCACCTCGCGCTCGGCTGGCGGTTCGCATGCTGCCGCGTCCAGCGCCAGCTCCAGACGCGCCCTGGCGACCTCCAGGCAGCGGCCCTTTGCGCGTTCTTCTGTATTCCATCATCCATAGTGGTGGGCGTCATTTAGCGGGAGACGCCCAGACCCGGCGCCGTTTCTTGGTGAGGCCATGTGCACAAGCGGGCCTTTGCACCTTCAATTTTTGCCGAGGCACGGCACTAACACCTCTTGGCAAGGTGCTGACTGACTGCGCCGACGTAGCGGCTTTATTATTATTATTATTATAATAAACTATAAATACTGATGATTTCTTATATTTACGCGAACACAACATATTGAATTCCACTTTTTAGTACTTCCTCTTTCTGGCAACCATGGTCAAATATGTCATTGCGACGTTAAATACTACAGTCCGCTCGTGAACATGAGCTGTGAAAAGTACTCGAAACTTCAAGAAAACAAAGTCGGTTGAAACAAATTAAATAACATCGAAGTGGTTATCCGTCGGGATAAAGTAAACAAGAAATCCATTTGTCGCTTGCACTTAACTATGTTTATTCTGGCAAGAAGCGACAGCAATAAATCATAAGTTTTGACATTATAATAGAAAATGTAGTGAAAATACGTAAAAGTAGCTTTTTTATTTCGATAAAAGTGAAAAGTTGCCGATCATGAGGTCCCGGGTACAAATTCAAAAATCAGTTATTGGGTTTTTCTGTCACGAAATTCCCAGTAGCAGCCCAGAGTCAGGTAGCTGGCGCTGTCTCACCCACGTGCTTCGTAAAACACGTAAAGCCGTTGTTCTCTTCGGTTGTATCAGATTACCGTCCAATTTGGCCTTCTCTTCCAAGTGACCACAAAACTGTACGTCACTCGATATGTCGACGCCGAGGATTGTGGTACTGGCTGAGGCAACAAGGGGAGTGCCTTGAAACTGAGAAGATACGACGAAGGGGTTCTTTTTTGCGGTAAACGCACAAAATTTTGTCTTCTGGTGATTAAACTGGACTAGATTTAGTCGCCTCTAATCCGAGATTTTGTTCAACAAAGTCTCGACTTCAGACACAAGTTTGTTCCCGTACACGGCAACGTTTTACCGAGAAATATTGGACCGGCCGGTGTATAAAACATCAAGAGTGCTATCTTCTGCATATCAATGAATGCTACCGATTTGCAAAATGTCATTGATATGCAGAAGAAACATCGTTGGTGATAGCACGTAGCCTTGTGGAACATCAGCGTTAATGGGCTTGTAATGGGAGCATGCACCGTCTACTATGACCTCGATGCTCCGATCAGCAACGAAACTGGTGACCAAATTGCACAATTTCTCGGGAAGCTCATGAGAAGGAAGCTTAGTAAGAAGCGCTTTTTGCCAAACCCCATCGAAGGCCTTCGCTATGTCCAAACTAACGGCCAACGCCTCCAGGGACGCCATCAGGCCCACTCGATTTGTTGATGTCCAGGGAGAAGAGTGCTGTGTGCACCAAGCGTTGGGTAAACAGCATTGTATATAAATGCTCCTAAATGAGGTAGAACAATTTTAATTCTTCATATGATTTATTTACATAACATTAAAATATACAATTTTTATTACCGTTATAAATAATAAACTAATTACTTAAATTATCAAACAGTCCTGCTCCCCGAGTTTTTTTTTTAATAATAATAAATAATAAATCTTTATTGATCAACTAAACATTTTTACAATGATCTTGAGATTGTGGAAATCTTCTTTTAAGTGTGAAAACACCTGTGCCAGAAGATCCCGCTCTTCCATAGCCATAATACAAATAGTGATCAACTTAATCCGTAGGATATAAACTATTAAAGAAACTTGTGTGTGTGTGTGTGTGTGTGTGTGTGTGTGTGTGTGTGTGTGTGTGTGTTTGTTTGTGTGTGTTTTTATGTATGTGTTTATGTGTATTTGCTTACTAATATTGTAGTGTCTAAATAATGCATTGTAAAATAGCCTCTGTTTTATCATAGTCTAATTGTTTTAACCATTTTGTCAACAACTGTTTACAATTATATCTATTCAATTCATATATATTGAGAATTTTGTTTATTTTATTGTATATAAAAACTGATTGCATTTTATGTTGATGAGAAGCAAATTTTGTGTTTACTTTCTGTGTTACTATTACAGTACAGACAGACTACTATGTGTTTTTAAAACGGTTTGTAAAATATATAATTTTCTTACTGTAAGTAGCTCACATATATTATATAATTTTTCTGTACAAAATCTGTACGGTTTGAAAAACATTACTTTGAGTAATGCTCTTTGAGCCCTTTCTACTTCCATGAATTTGGTTTTGGACGTATAGGAATATCGGACCCCATATAGGAATGCAATATGCCAGTAAAGATTGTACCAATGCAGTGTATACTTTAGTTAGTATATTTTTTTGATGCTATATGTCTAAGTTGCTTAAAAATCCAAATTAGCTTTCTGACCCTACCCATAAGATGCTCTATTTGGTTGTGCCACGTCAAACGTTGGTCTATAATTATACCTAAATACTTAATAGCCGATACTTTGCTTATGGTTGGACAAGTGCAATCAGTATCAATAACGTTTTTACATTTATGAATTTTTATATTAAAATCATTTTGTGGCTGAGTCCGGTTATTGATGGTAAAGCATACGTAGTTAGTTTTTGGTCATTAAGAGTAAGCAAATTAGTCCTAAGCCAGGAGGCTATTTCAGCCAGTCCCAGTTCAGTGCATTTGCGAACTGTTTCCCAAGTTGTATCTTTAAATACAACAACCGTATCATCCGCGTATGAAAAAATTTGAGCTCCATCTATTTTTAGGTTGCATAAATTGTTAATATAAACAAGAAACAAGGTAGGGCCTAGTACACTGCCTTGTGGGACACCATAGGTAACAAAGGAGTCATCACTAACACACTGTCCAATTTTGACTTTTTGTTTTCTTTCAGACAAGTAATCCTTGAGTAAGTTGAGTGGTGTGCCTACGATGCCAATTGTTTCTAGTTTTTGTATTAAGATAGGAATAGAGACAGTGTCAAAGGCCTTTTTTAAGGTCTAGAAAAACGGCTAGAGTTTTCTTTCCTTGATCTGGTAGGTCAACGATTAGGGAAGTAAGAGCTGTTATAGCGTCTTCTGTAGATTTTTCTTGTCTAAAACCAAATTGCATGTCAGACAATACCTTAAATTTATTGATGTATTGTACTAGTCGTTTATTTATTAGTTTTTCTATTACTTTTGAGATAGAGGAAAGAACAGAAATAGGCCTGTAATTATTAACGTCGTCTCTGCTCCCATTTTTGTGTACTGGAGTTATTATGGCTTGTTTCAATAATGACGGGAAAATACCCTGCTTAAAACAAATATTAACTAAATGACAAATAATAGGGACCACTTCATTTTTAGCAAGCTTGAGGAATTTTGTCGGAATATTATCATATCCGGGTGCACTGTCTAATTTGAGGCTCATAAGTATATCATGTACCTCTGTTATATCAGTGTCTAAAAGCACAAACGATTTAGACTGTGTACGATTAGTGTCTAAATGATTATTTGTTTTTGTATTAATTTTTAAAAGATTATCCGCTAGAGACTTGCCCGTGTTAGCAAAAAAGTTATTGATATAATTAACGGATTCCTTAGGGGTTGGCTTTATATTTAACAAAATTCAATTATCGGTATTTGAGCTATTTAAATGGGCTATTCTATTGATGTTGTTCCAAAGATTCTTTGAGTTTTTAGATGAAAGTGCTAGTTGCTGTGTTTCATATTTGCGTTTTAATTTTTTAAGTAAATTATTACAATTTTTTTTTTGCGCCCGAAGCAATTAAAGGGCTACCCTATACGTAGGGAGGCGGAAAATGCATTACGCATACCACGGTAGCCGGTCTATCGTGGTTATGAGGGACTCACTGTCCTACCGGGGACCCTAATGATACCCTCTAAAAACCGCCTTTGGGGACGGATTAAGCTGTATTGTGCCTTATCATGAGCGACCCTCTTTTGGGAAAAGAAGGGCGCAGGTGGCTAAGTGCCGCTGAGGGAGTGCCTACGAAGGCAAATTAATGTTAGTTATTACAATAATTTAATTTTAAAAATTTGAGTTGGCCTGAGCCGCCAGGATACAGTTCGGGTCGTTTGACAGTTTATTAGGCGGGTCCGAGAGAGAGTTTCTCGGCCTGCGGACACGATAGCGAGAGGGGGGGTGGGGCTGCATAAGAAGCTGCCTAACGAATTAATTGGTTTGGGTGCGACTTAAAGGCTTTGAAGAAGTTCTCAGAGAGTTTTTTAAAAAATTGTTGAATTGTTGGGAGCTCTAAGTCCCGATGAAGGTCAGCATTACGGACGTACCAAGTTGCGTTCGCAGCTCGACGACAGAAGAGGTTCTGAACTATTTGAAGTTCATTTATAATATTAGGGTTTGGGTGGGCAAAGACGGGGCCCGCGTAGGACATGACTGGTCGTATACAGACCTTGTAAAGGGTACGCTTGTTTCGAAGGGACATTTTACTGTGTCGGCCCAACATACTGTTGAGCCTACTCAGATAAAACCGTGCGTGACGGGTTACTCTTTTGACGTGGGGCCTGAAAGTGAGCCCTGTGTCTAGAGTGACACCTAAATATTTGGCGGACGTATGCCAGGGGACAGGGGTCCCTAGCATACGTATTGGTGGAGTGTTTTTGAGACGGCGTCGTTTATAATCGAAGTGAACGGCGGAGCTCTTCTCCGGGTTCATATCGATGCGCCATTTTTTTGAACCAAGCTCCTAGGTCATCAACTGACTTTTGGATCTTGTTTCGTATGAAGGGTAGTGAGACACCTTTGCAGTAGATGGCAGTGTCGTCTGCGAAGAGGGAGAGTTGAACACCTTTCGACGGGATGGGAATGTCGTTGGTGAACAGGATGTACAGCAGAGGAGCAAGTACTGAGCCTTGAGGGACACCAGCTTTGATAGTTCGCTGTGAAGATAGCGTACCTTCGTGTCTAAAACGAAAGGTTCGATGTTTTAAATAGGAGGCCACGAGACGAACTAGACGATCGGGGGAGACCTATTTGTAGAGCTTGTAGATGAGGCCTGTGTGCCAGACTCTATCGAAAGCTTTAGCTATATCGAAAAAAACCGCGATGGTCTTAAGACGACGAGGGTAGAACCCGCTGAGGATATATTCCACAATGCGGTGAACTTTTTGGGGACATGAGTATTTGGCTCGGAAGCCGAATTGATGGGGAATGATAAGAGGGTCGCCGTCTGTGGGAAACAGATAGCGCCTCATACGCGTTTGGATGACTC